ATGGTATCAATGCTAGAGAGAGTGAGGTCAAGCAGGAGGGGAGGAGCAGTGTTCGTATACATATCTAAATATGGGTGGTGTGTTTGAGTGGATTTTTAGTGTTTCTACATTTTAATGTGTATATACATCTTTGTTTGTGTGGGCAGCTGTAAATGGAAAAAAGAAGTAGGTCATGACTCACTATTGATAGGCTACACTGCTTTTAGATAGCGTGTACATGTGTTTGTGGGTGTGTGTGTAGGTATGTGTGTGTATGCCTTTGTAATACTTACATTATGGAGGCTGAAACCTGTTAACACACTTACATTGTGGGGACTCAGCCATCCTTGTGGGGAAAGAAATCAATTAATTTTAGGGTGGCAACATGGTTTAAGGTTAGGGTGGGGTTATGGCTAAGGTTAGGATAAGTCTACAGTAAATGAATGTAAGTCAATGTAAAGTCCCCACAAGGAATGAAAACACAGCATGGGTGTGTATGTGTGTGCAGAATTCCTTGTCTTGAATGTCTTGCTTTGATCTCATAGGTGAAAGGTCACATGTCCTCACTGTCTGTGCTTGTGCATCACTGCCAACACCTGTGCTCCAGTGAGGAGTCACATTTCTCTTGTCAGAACACAAGACAATTACCTGGGAAAATTCAGGCAAACAGGAAGGTGTTTGCCCCTTGACCCACCCAAGGTAATAAGTCTTCCCCATTATGCATTCTTCTGTCCTCTGTGATGTGTGTGATGCAATATTTCAAGGACAAATATTGATTTGAAATCAAAATAATGTCAAGGACAAGAGATGGAGAAAAAACAGATTTTTTTTCTTTGCCAGATGAGATGATGATGTGGTTAAAGCGAATGAAAGAAAAGCCATAAAATTTATACTGAGAGCGAACTATCACAATTATACTTTTTTTTTAAATGATAAAGTGAGTGTTTTTAATTGGCCTGTCTGTGTCATCCACAGATTGTTTCTTATCTCTGCCTGAAAGTTTTTGTTTGACCATAGAAAACTAATTATGTACACTAAGAGAGAGGGGCATGACAGGTTGCAGAGAAAGTATGTATTACAATGGGGTAGTGAGCAGGCAGGAACAGAAATGTTAAAAAGGTGAGCTATGCGAATCCTCAAATGAGGTTAAAAATGAAACCAAAGGCATGGAAGCTCAGGCAAAAACCCATGGGGGAGAAAGGGGGAGAACAGGGGGGAAGGAGGAGAGGTGACAGTGGGTGTATGTATTAGTGCATGTTGCAGCATGTTGTCCCACTCACTGATGGTAAGAAAAAAGATCAGGTCCAGGGTGGAAAAAGATGATTTAGCATCAATCATTTAAGTACTAATCTGCTATGCCCCCTCACTGAATGATATAACATAACTCCACCTAGCCAGTTTATGCATGCATTAACAGTTGCTGCTGTAAACCCCACCTATCAAGTAGGTGTTTCCTGGAAAAAAAACTGAAGTGCACATTAAATGGTGTATTTTACATATCAGGAAGGACAAAGTTGCTCGGAGAAGACTGTAGTGGCTACACAGCTGAATAATCTAGCAAGGGAGACATGTAACACTAATGAACAATGCCTTTCCTACCCTGAAAGACACATGAGAGAAAGATGCACAACCACACTCAAAGAAAGGCAGGTTATCAAATGCATGTCAATCCAATTCATGTTTGTGTCTACACTGGCTAATAAAACGATCATCCTTGTGTAACATATATCAAAATTTCCCTTTTTTGCATATAGAAATCATCCTTTTGACCATGCATGCTCAAGCAGTAGACATGAACTGCATTAGTGCATGCTGGTTTTTGGGCTCAGTTTAGATTTCTGTTGAGACACATTTTGCCAAAGGTCAAAATTCCAATCAGCTATGATTAAAACCAAGCCTTTCTTTTCATCATCACTATATAGGAAATCACTAATTATTTAAATGACTGATAAGGGAGGCTGTTAACAACACAAGCCAGCCAAATGCTGGTAAAACTTGGCTTTACGGTGGGTCTGACTGTCAGTTCTGGCAATCAATCAGCCAGTTTAAAAGACTTGTTATGATAATAACAAATTGTCTGAATTGTGGTTGAACGGTTTCCTGTGTACCACTGCAGGCGTGCTTTGATTTTTGAGAAACCCAAATCTGGCACTTACTGGATAGAGCTCAATAATATAGCAAAACTAACTTCACTTGCTGAAGTAAGTTAAACAATGAAATAAAGTAAAGAATGGAGAGATGCAGGTGTATCACAGTGAAATACTGTACCTCTCTGACTTTATGACACTAAAATCAGGCAAAAGTAACTGACAGATACTCATCTTTTAGAAATGGAGTGAAACCCACAAACGTTTTAGGTGAAATTTGACAAGCTAAGATAAGAACTCTTACAATGAGAAAACACAGCCCTTACCTACCTACCACTGAACTACTGTCCGTATCTCTCTCTTACACACACACACACACACATACACAAGTAGAGGAAGAGGGAATGAGGACAGATAGAACAGTGTTGTGGCTAGCAGAGTGTGTTAAGTGAGTGTATCTTGAGAAACCTATCAGGGCACTCTTGTGTTTCGGCCTCTGCTCAGGAAACATTCTCAGGGTTCACCAGAATAAAACCACTTGGCATCTTTGGTTCAAAAAAGAGTTTTAATTAGCAACACTTAAATAAGAAAATGTGCCATTGTTTGTGCCAGTAGACAACATTTCTAGTTGCTGTGGATCTTTGTCAAACAAAACAAAACAAAAAGAGTTCTAATCCAAACAGTTAGAATGGGCCGAAATAGATCATAATAATTAGGCCCAAATCTAAAATGAGGTTGACAGGAACAAACTCTAACAGAGAGAGAAGATCAGATGGGCTGCCAAAAAAGCAAATCATAATATAATATAAAACCAAATCATACCATAGACTGAGTATGATTTATAACTGGTCTGACTTGGGTTACATTTTGGGCCTCAGATCCTCAGAACAAAGTGGACCTGCAACATCTTCTGAATTAGACAGTGACAGAGAAAAGGTCAAAACTATAACCATGCAATAAAAGCGCATACTTCAAAAGAAAATAGGGGCAACCAGAGAAGCTGGAAAGTGATAAGGTATGAGAGACACAGCAACACAATCCAAGCCTTGACTCTTAGTACTTGTTAAGGTGCTGTTAGCTCACAAATCCCCTCAGGCTTTCCCCTCCAAGGTGCTTGAGGTTAAAGGGTCAAGACATCAGCTGTAATGGTTAACTGAGATGAGGGTGAGCCTTCAAAAAGTGGGGGTTGGAGCTGTTCTTCAGTGTGATTGTGCATTTGTTCAATTGTGCATGAACACATGCTTGCAAATATTTTTGTGTGTGAACACAGCTACGACTAATGATGAGGTCCAGCCCCTATGGGACCATTATGAGGTCACTGCTGTCAGAGGCAATGAATGACAGCTATAAGGTCACTAACTATTGTGGTCATTCAAGGCCTTTTTAGATGCTCTGCAGGTCATCTAAAACAGCTATAAAGCACATAGAAAAATATGAGAAAGAAAAGGCACAAGTCCTTTAGCAAAAACAGAAAAAGGTGAGACATCTGGTCAAAACCTTTCACTCCCTGATGAACCAGGGATGGTACTACTGATCTGTTACAATGCAGATTTAAGTTCAGCTAAGGAACTGCTGCATTGTCCCATTAATGTTTCCGTCACTAGTGAAGAGAGGAAAAACAGCACTGGAACAAATGTTCAAAGAAAGTAGCTGGCTGACAAAGAGGGGAAAGAAAAGGGGATCTGCCTGTATGCATAGCCATAATAATGATTTTAAAAAATCTAAGCCCTAAAATAACCACAAACTTGATTAGACTGATTAACTGGGAATGTGGGTTTGCCCTGGTGCCGGATGGTCCATAGCATTTATTTATTTATTGATCGATTGATTGTTGTTTGTATTCTACTCTATGTGTGATATGCTGGCATTCTTTAGCTTGTAGAAATGAAATGACAGAGAGGGAAAGGTGAAGAGATCTAACTTTGTTGGGCTGTTTGCCCATTTTTGGGCTTAATGTGCTTTGAAACATAAACCAAAACAGAGAGAGGGAGAGAGAAAATAAAAAGAAAGAGAGAAAGTTGAGCAACCACCAGTCAGTAGCTGACAGAGTAGTTATTCTGGCAGGGTATTAGAGTTTATCCTGCCTATCCTACTGCCTCATTACAGCCACAGTACTTTCTTGCAAAGTGCATGATTTTGTGCGTGCACGCTTGCCTGTGCTGTAGTTGCAGTGCCAGTTTTGGTGTGACGTCTGTGGTGGAAAAAAAGCTACTTCACAAAAATTCATTGACCTTGTAGCATGACCACAGAAGTTTTCAAATCTTAACTGCAGTAACAAAAATCATAACACAAAAAAACTGTGGATGTAAAACATCTCTTTCACTCAAAATTGAAATTGTTCCAAATGTAGAAACACTTGTAAAAACTACACAAAGCAAGGAAAGCTACTCAGGTAAAATAATGGGAGTCATCTTGCCACAAAACAATCATATAGCTCCTTGCTGTGCACCTCCAGAAGACCAAAACCTTTCAACATGTGCACTTCAAAGAGTGCAGTCTATATATGCTCTTGGGGAAATGGAAACCATGAGTGTGAATAGGCTTGCACTGTGTCTATGTGTGTGTGTTCCTATTTGGGAGAGTCACCTACATATCTGCAACAATGACATGGCCCAGTTATGAGGGTGCCCTGCTAATAGCACCTTTTAATTGTTCAACCACTTGCACACAGCACATTCATCAACCAAATGGCACAAAAGCAGTACAACCGGATCCTGAATAGCGCCTGCAGCTAACACCTACTGAACATACCGTCAACACCTATCTATATTGACTCTGCAGTTAAATGGCATATCACACATGGAGGCAAAACTTTTCTTCTTCAAAATAGTATATCACCCTTTTTGCATATTGTGACACATGACAAACAAGATATTCTGCACAGAAAAAAAGCCTGAGAATAGGAAGACAAAAGAAAAGAATTTCTTTCCTTACCTGTGACAGATATGGTCATGGGAGCTTCCAGGGCCCTGTCATTGTCCAGATCCCTGCTCAGCCTCAGGTCCCCAGTATCCTCATTCAACACCAGCAGACTGAGTTCATTTCCAGATTCAAACTTGTAGCGTAGTTTATCTGATACATCCGGATCATGAGCTGGTACCTTTCCTATTATTCCTGATGGAAAACTGTTAGACTTGTTGGTGACATAGTTGTTGAAAATAATCTCAAAGTTCTGCAGCACAGGCTCATTGTCATTCATGTCTACAAGGCGGATGTGAACAGTAGCCCTGCTCACTAGTGGTGCTGAGGTGGCCTGGACCACTATGACATACTCTGTTTTAGTCTCATAATCCAGGTCTGTGAGTGCAGTAAGGTCACCATTGAAAATGTCCAGCTGGAAAACTTCAGGAATATTTCCTTCCACAATCTGATACATGATCTGCGCATTAGTGCCCTCGTCAGGGTCAGTGGCAGTGATCCGGGCTACAGTGGACCCCACCGGACTGTTCTCCTCCACATCAATAAAAAGCTCATCCTTTTCAAACACTGGTGCATTGTCATTTATGTCTTGGACTATCACATGAATGGAAACAGCGGCTTTCAATGGTGGAACCCCCCTGTCCACAGCAAAGGCCTTCAGATTATACACAGGAACATTCTCCCGGTCCAGTTTGCGAGCAGTTCTGATGATACCAGAGTAAGGCTCTATGAAAAAATCCCCTTCTCCGTCATCGCCACCCAAAAATGTATAGCTCACCCTGCCATTCGATCCAGAGTCTCTGTCTGAAGCAGAGATCTGGAGAACACTGGTGTACACAGGTGCGTCTTCAAATACAGTACCCTGGTATATATCTCTGAGAAACTGCGGAGCATTATCATTAGCATCAAGAATGATAATCTCCACATAGGTGGTATCAGATTTCTGAGGAATGCCATTGTCTCTGGCAATGATTGCTAATGTGTATGAGGCCTGGTCTTCATAGTCAATCTCCATTTGTGTCGTGATGGCACCTGTATCTGGGTCAATTTTAAACTGAGAAACATTGTCTTCCATTACATACGTGATGCGAGCATTTTCCCCTGTGTCCTCGTCCGTTGCACTGATCACCACCACAGTGGAGCCCACCGGTTTTTCTTCACTGAGCATCACCTGGTAGTTGGCACTTTGAAAGACGGGCCGATGCGTGTTGGCGTCTGTCACATTGATGAATACCTGCGCAGTGTCATAGCGTGTTCCATCACTGGCAGTGACAGTCAGGACATACTGGCGTTCCTGCTTGTAGTCCAAGGGGAGGGCTAAGGTGATAAGGCCACCGCCGCTCTGGCTAGTGATGGCAAAGCGATTCCTGGTGTTGCCACTGGAAATCTGATAGGTCACCACACTGTTGATGTCCCTATCCACCGCCGTCATGGTTAACACACTGGTCCCCACCACTGCATCTTCATTGATTTTGAGTGAGTAGGTCTTCTCTGTAAATGTGGGCACATTGTCATTAACATCAAGCACTGTGATGCTGACACCGGCTGAGGAGGACATTACAGGTATTCCATGATCTCTTGCCTCTACACCAAACGTGTAGAAGTCTGTGGTCTCTCTGTCAAGCTCATCACTCACTGTAACCCAACCTGTGTTGTTGTTGATGGTGAATGGAAAACCAGGAGTGATGTCAGTAAGCTGGTATTCCAAACGAGCATTTTCTCCTGAATCACCATCAATTGCTTGAATATGGATCACAGAATAACCAATGGCCACATTTTCCAACACAGTAGCCTGGAAAGGTGTACTGACAAACATGGGGGCATTGTCATTCACATCTACCACTTGCACCACCACCATCCCTGTGCCATTTATCAGTGGAGGCCTGCCACCGTCCTGAGCCTTGATCCTCAAATTATACTCCCGAATCATCTCATAGTCCAGAGGATTGATAACATCAATCACACCAGTGGGGGAGTGAATGTAGAACTGTCCTTTAATATTCCCACTGATGATGCTGTAATGCACTTTGGCATTGTTTCCCTCATCTTTGTCTGTAGCCTCCACCTGGATGACTTTTGTGTTGACTGCCACATTCTCTGGGACCTGTATAACATATCGCTTTTCACTGAACTGTGGGTAGTTGTCATTCTCATCCTCTACAGAGATGTGGACAGTGGCAGTGGCACTGTGGGGACCTGGGTCTTTGCCCTGGTCATTGGCCTCTACAATCAGCTGGTACTGGGCCCGGGTCTCCCTGTCAGGCCGTTCTCTGATCCTCACAAGGCCATTACGGGGGTCGATTTCAAACACAGAGTTAACTCCATCACCATTCACAATCTTATAAATCATGTTGGCATTGGAGGGAGCATCCCCATCAGTTGCCCGGATTGTCATCACTTCAAAGCCCACTTCTATGTTTTCCCGGATGCTAACACGGTATTCATTTTGCTCAAACACTGGGCTATGGTCATTAGTGTCACTCACAGTGACAGTGAGGTATGAAGTGGCAGATCTTGTTGGGGTCCCATTGTCAGTTGCAATGACTTTAAAAACATGTGTGTCTTTGACTTCTCTGTCTAGAGCTTGGACGGTTGTTATGCTCCCTGTCTCCGAGTCAATGTTAAAAAAGTCATTGGACCTGCTGTCAAACAAGGCTTCCATGCTGTACTCCAGCCTCCCTGCCTCTCCATCATCCGGGTCAGTTGCTTTCAGGGTGATTACCCGCGTGCCCGCAGGCTCATTCTCGGGCACAGAAACCTGATAATTTGGGAGCTGGAACTGGGGCGATGTGTTTACTTGCCGCTTCCCCCTGCGGATCAATTTTTCAGACTTTCTCGGGACGTTTTCTGTTAAGGATCCAAGGTGTTTAGGCACATTTACAAGCTTTAAGCTCAGGTGTACAGAGAGCCGGCCGCCTACAGAGTTGTGCAATGCGCAGTGCAAATTCACCTGGGGTTGTCCTCTGTGCGCAAGGCATAACTCACTGGCCAGGAACAAATCTCCATGCCTAAAAACTGCACCAAAGTCTTTTCCAACACATTCAGTTTCCTTAAAGGCGATGTTTCCCGTAAAAGCAGGCAAACGTTCGATTACATTCAAAAGCAATTTACCTGCGGGTAAGCAGGAAGTTGCCTCCAATTTTAAAAGGTGTTTAATGTAAATGTCCGGCTTACCTGACAACGTCTTTCGCTTGTACTTAATAAAACAGTCCTGGCCATGGACAAATACATTAAACTGGGTCAGAACAATGTCCCCCGATGTTGAGGAACCTGTCTTGAAATAAACAGGCACTGGATTCCTCCGTGTGAGCGCACATTTAACTTTGTGGGACAGACGGACAACCCCATCGTGCCTCTCAACTCTGAAAAAGCTCTGGATGAATTTAGGTGATGAAGTCCTGTCTATTTTATAAGTCCATCCAGGGCCGAGCGACAGGTTTGCTAAAAGGGTCCCGGGCTGTAAAGTCTCTGAAAGGTGCATCTCCAAACATCCCGCAAGCGGCACGTTGAACAGGACACAAACCCAAATCCAGCATATCAGTAGCTCCATGCTTGTAAACTTGCCAATTCCCATTCAATTTCTCTGAAACTTCAAAAGGCATCAGCTCTCCCTCTCCCAGCACCGCGTTTTACTTTTATCCTTCATTGTGAAGTTTTAGCCTGGAAAAAGACGCTTAGTATCCATAGTAGAAGTGTATCCACGGTGCGCAGCGGCTGCCTTATCCCCACAGTTTAAAATGAGTACAAAATGGCTCCGTGACTCCCGTCCGCCGCCTCCTCCTCCTCGGAGGCGTATTACCATAAACCTGCTGTGTTCCCCCCTCTGGGATGCTTTCACGGGGGGTTTTTTTCTCATGGAGATTTAGGAAGTGGGCCTGTCTGGGTGACCAATGCGCGCAACTGCTTTGTTATTACAATTGAGTGAGATGAGTAAAATTCCTAATGCGTGATCGAGTCTCGCCGCCTGTTCAACTTCTGAATGTTGAATGAGTTTTAAGCGGTGATGGTGCATAAAACAGACAGGTAGTTGAACTATGACTTCAACTTTACATTTTTAGAATTATGTTGAGTACACGATTTTAATCAGCCGTTACTCTTCGATGAATATAGGTAATAAAAAAGGTAGTTTTAACAAGTAGTAGGTCGAAATCATCATTCAAATAACACGAATTGGTACAGCTTTATAAACCAAATTATTTAACATATCTCAGAAAACAGCTAAGCAAGCCTTCTTCTAGATACATTTTAAAAAGTAAAGAGTGCATGTTATCCTTATTGTGCACCTCATTTTTCTCTTTTCAAAATTGTTTTGAAACTTTGCACTTTAAAATGGTCATAGTGGTAGGTTATATTTACAAAGCCTATTTATATTCATAATATTTTATACTGTTATTAGTGATGTCCAAGTCAATATACTCTGTGTATTCTAATCAAATTTATTTTCTTCCTGAAATCAATTTTTATGCTGACAAACGACTAACAGGGAAACTTTTCAAACACGAGCAAAAATGTAATCTCTTCTTTGAACACAGTTTGTTGAAGTCAAATTTGTATCATTAGGTCATTACTGACACTATATTCATATTGTTTAGTGGAAACAATGACTCAAGCCTATAACAAGTTCACCCTGGAATTTATTTTGTCTAATAGCGCCACCCTATGGATAAATATCTGTAGAACAACCAATGCTCAGCTACTGTACATAGTGTATTTTATTATTCAGGACAGAATATTTAGTTATACAGCCCAATGTAAAATAAATCAGCACATCAGGGTTACTCACTAATACGTAAACGCTGACGTATTCACGGTTTGTAGTTAAGGGAAAAACTCATGTTTCACAGCTTACAATACCGTCTGAAAAGGCACTTTGAATTTTATTTCAGGACTTCTAAGCAGAGCGGAGCTTAGTCACCCGGGAGGAGCTCAGAGTAGAACCGCTGCTCCTCCACATCGAGAGGAGCCAGCTGAGTGGCTCGGGCATCTGTTTCGGATGCCTCCTGGGCGCCTTCCTAGGGAGGTGTTCCGGGCATGTCCCACCGGGAGGAGGCCCCGGGGAAGACCCAGGACATGCTGGAGGGACTTGTCTCTCGGTTGGCCTGGGAAAGCCTTGGCATTCCCCCGGAGGAGCTGGAGGAAGTGTCTGGAGAGAGGGAAGTCTGGGCATCTTTGCTTAGACTGCTGCCCCCGCGACCCGGTCCCGGATAAGCGGAGGAAAATGGATGGATGGATGGACTTCTAAGCAAATGATGAAAATACATATATATTCATAGAAACATAGATTCACTATGCATTGCAGTATTAACTGAGCAAGAACAGGTTTAACATTTTCACTGTCTTTTCCATTTTCTAGTTCAACTGGCAGATTTTAACACCGTGCTTGTTGCAATCTTTAGGTTAACTTGACATGTTTTTAAACATTCATTTCTACTAGGTTTTCCCATCAACTGGCTTTTGGATATAGTTTCTCCTTACAGGAGAAAACTCCTGTTTAACACAATGGCTCTATTTTCTACTTGACTTGTCCTACGCCTCCATTCCCCTGAGTCATTGACCTATGATTACAATAAAGAGCACAACACCAAAGGGATCACACTACCCAGTGTTCTTAAAAAAAAGAAGACATCTTTTCTTTCAGATTATAACAGAGTTGGGTATGGAGACAAAATATTGCCAAATAAAATTTGGCATCAGTGAACTGTTTTCCATCTACAGAATCTTTTAAGTGCTGAACCTTTTAAAATGGTGAGCTTGATTTCAGTTTGTGTTATGGCAACTCTACTTCAGAGGATAACCACAACTTCTGGCAATTATCCTTTAGTACATCTTACAGAAAAATGATTTTCACAATACATCCTGCACTTCTTAAATGCATCCATGAGATCATCCAACCTTTTCCCCTTAAATATCCATATTTCAAGATGCAGGTCTTCACCGCAACTATAACAGCACATGTAATGGTATAATGGAGGATTAGGGGAGTACAAATAACAGCATCCCATGTACAGTATATACACAAGCAGAAACAGATGTACTTCACCTGCAAATGACTGCGGTGGTGTTGATCCATTCCACAGTGTCAGACATAAAAGGGAATAGTTGTAAAAGCTTGATTTATTCTCAAAATAAAGTTTCTGCTGCTTACTAACCCACCTTATTATTAACATCTTATGTCCACTACATAACAGTTCAGGTGGTTCATCTCAGCAGCCAGCAGATAACCTCATAGTATCTAAACATAAATAGTAATGAAATCAATCTTTTTGTCCTTGTGTGCTGCTGTAAAAGTTGAGCATTTAAAACCACAATCAACTGCTAACAGGTTCCTGCATTAGGCCACAAAGCCCTGTGTAAGATGGAGATTATCTTTACGCACAGGGTGCTCTACCATGCAGAGTGGATTTCCAACAGGGCCAGGCTGTGAAGGGCATCTCAGCTGGCTGGTTCGGGGGTCATCTGCTCTCTGTGCTGTGCACCTGCTGTCAGCTGTTCTCGGCCCCGCATGAGTGTGTACTCAGTGGGCCCCAGCTGGATGATTTTCCCACTGCCCAGACACTCATTTCCTCTGTAAAGCACGGCAAACTGGGGACCAAATGAAAGGAAAAAACCATAATCACATGCAATGATACAGTAACACAGGAGAACTGTTTATATAGTATATATTTTTAAAGTTTCATGATATTATAACTTGCTGTATTAGTATAGGCCTAAGCAACTACACTGCATTTTCTATCACAGGTGTATGAGCCGTTACCTGTCCGGGTGTCAGAGCTCTGACTGGCTGGGACAGCGTGATCCACAAAGAGCCATCCAAATTCAGAGTTACAGTACAGGGAACTGGAAAGAACAAAAATGTACTATTTCTGGTTCAGTAAAGAGTGTATCACCTGCATTTTGCCTCTTCTTATTGCTTAATCTGCAGGCAGTGGTGTAAAAAGTTTTCAGACCCTTTACTTAAGTAAAAGCACTAATACCAAAGTATTAAACCAATCCACTACAACTAAAATTCTAAAAAATGTTACTTTAGCAGGTTGGATGTACTGCCAAATTCTCTGAAAGCCTTTGGAGATGGCTTATGATAGAGAAATGCACCTTCAATTCACAGGCAACAGCTCTGGTGGACATTCCTTCAGGCAGCATGCCAATTGCCCGCTCCCTCAAAACTTGTGACATCTGTGGCATTGCGCTGTGTGATAAAACTGCACGTTTTAGAGTGGCCTTTTATTGTGGCCAGCCTAAGGCACACCTGTGTAATAATCATGCTGTCTAATCAGCATCTTGATATGCCACATCTGTGAGGTGGATGGATTATCTCAGCAAAGGAGAAGTGCTCACTAACACAGGTTTAGACAGGTTTGTGAACAATATTTGAGAGAAACAGGTCTTTTGTGTACATAGAACAAGTTGTAGATCTTTGAGTTCAGCTCATGAAAAATGGGGGCAAACCCAAAAGCGTTTAGATTATTACATGTATATAGGATTTTACTGTTGCAGCTGATTAAGGTGTAACTAATTTTTAACTGTTTTATTCAGGACTGCTTGGTGTGGCCACCCAACTGTCTAAATATAAAAATTATTAAAATTAAAATAAAGTGCAGCCAATCCTCACATTTCTGAAGCTGGAATTAATCAACTAATCATTTCAGCTATACTTCTATATCCTATAATGTTAGGCAGCTGAATCTATAACAAATCATCATATTTGAGAAGCTCCGGTATATTTTCTGCGTATAACTCTTCATCTGTTCAGTAACTAAGTGGTCAAATAATTTTAGTGGAGTAAAAAACTGTGTTTCCCTGAAGCATAAAGTGGCATTGAAAAAGATAACTCAAATAAAGTACAAGTATCTCAGTTGTATTTAAGCACAATACTACCCCCCCACCACTGTCTACAGTGTAAAACTCACCAAGTGGCATCTGGTGGATGAAGCGGAAGTGACACTCCATCATCTGGGTCCTGGCTAGTTCAGGAGGTGGGTCGACTGTTATCCAGTGGAAGCGATCAGTCTGCATCGTGTCACAGAACAGAGCCGGGTGATTGGTAGTTGGAGCCTGAGCCACAAGAGATTTAGGGGATTAAGTTTTTCCTCAAGTTTCTAACTGTGTTTACTGGATAACTCCACCTAAAAGTGAGCAAGATAAATGAAAATCCCAAATGCTGCTTGGCATCATCTGTAAAATGAGGACATTCTATGCAGTATAAATGATGGTGACAACAGAAGGCAAGGAAGGTGGCTTCACTTTAACAACAGAAACAGTTTTTCTCACCACAAACACATCTCCAGTGTTGATGTCTTTGTCCACCACAAACCAGGCATCTCTCTGTCCTCCTATCCTTGCCCTCTGGCCTAGTGTCAGAGTGAACCAGCCTGTACAAACAGACACCGAAGAAAAACAGCAAGGGAAGGGACAGGATGTACAATTTTAAGTGCTATTAACTTAGAACACAAATGTGTAGAATTTGCATAAGGGTACAGAGAACACCAATGCAGAAAACAAGGGTTTGTTTTAATTGGCATATTATATAAAAGATATTAAGAGTCATTACATTCTGTCTGTGTGATGATTTGATATTTGAGAATCTCTGAACTATAAACATACCTTTGTGTGTTCCCATTACAGTTCCATCCTCAATGGAGACAAGGTTCCCTGGTTTAGGTTCTAGATACTGAAAACAGAAAAAACAGTACTGGCTTACAAGCATCTCTGACTAAATGATAATATTTGAGACTGTCCGAAATAAAGGCAATTGGCTCCATTTCAAACCCAAATAAACACAGATAAAAAGGAAGAATATGGAGTAAACAAGGTAAATATGCCAAATTGTTACATGGGAAAATACTTGAATGTTCAATTCTCACCTCCAGAATGAAGTTTTCAAAGTCTCTCTCTCCAATAAAGCAGATGCCCATACTCTGGAAGAACAGTAACACACTCGGTTTTATCTCAAATTGCAACTGCTGTGTATGATTTCAGACTTTATTGTTAGCATACAATGTGATTTAAAAACATATACTGTATTTATGACCTAAAACATGACCATAATTTGTGTGTGCACCTCTTTCTTCTTCAGTACATGGTAAAATCCAGCCTCAGCAGCAATCTTTTTCACAAACTCTTTAGTCAGTCCTGCAAGTGGGAACATGGTTTGTCGCAAGGCATCTTGGGAGATCTGACTGAGGAAGAAGGTTTGGTCTTTGAGGAGATCTGCTCCCTGGTACAACCTCACCGCTGGCAGAAAGAATAATAAATAATAAGAAAAAAATAAAAATGAAAAACACTTTTAAGACAGTCAGAAAGTCTGACCTTAAATTCAGCACTGGTACACTTTCACAGCCAGTTAAGACAAAGAAAGTGTGCAAAAATAAAGATCAGAACCACAGAAATAAACTGAGGAAACAGATGCAAACTGTTGCTGTGCAAACCATAGCGATGGGCCCCAGCCAATCCTATATCAGTATCGGGTAAGATATTGACGTTGGATATCGGACAAACATGGCAGATCCACTTAGCCATCCATATTCCATCCCGCAGTGTGTGCTGGACCATCAACCTGCCATAAGCTAACATACAGTAACGTAACATGAGACCTCACCAATCCAGACTCCATTCCACATCTTCTTCAGTCCGTAATCAAGTGAACAAATAACATTAGCTGTTGGTTTGACTAAAATGTTGTTTGTTTGCAGATATTTTAGCCTGGAAACACCAAAAAGCAAGACAGCAACTTGTAACGTGTAAAGCCAGCATGCCGAGGGGTGGAAGTATGGTTGTGTCGTACCATACAATCAGTTTAATCAAGTACCTGCAGAGGTTTGGTTTCACGTCAAAGAGTACCAGAAATTCATGTTAACCAACAGACAAGACACCACCATTCAGGACCCTCGCTGATGCTTTGCACAAACACATAAGCCTCCAGCAGACAACCCAAACACTAAAGGAATTACAGAGAAGTTGCTCAACTTCGATATACTCGAAGACCAACCACTATCTGTATTTTGCAGCCCATTGGAGCACTTAAAGCCCTGCTATAATCTGCCATTCAGAAAATACATTACAGAGACTGCTATACCCAAACTATACAACCGAGTGTCATCATAGTTAGCGGCGCAGTTAGAATATGTTAAAGCCATGAGCGGCACAACTGATATTTGGAACTCAGATGTGAGCAGCATCGAAGGTGATCCTCTGTATTCACTTGTCACTTTACTGGACCCTCAATACAAAGACAGGTGAGCAGGATTTTTTTTTAATAATAAATTATTAATGCCCTAAAACTGGCTACATTTTAAATAATAAATGTGAAATCTTGCAAAACCAAAGCTACAGGTTTATTTCTAACCCAAAAATGGAGATATGTAAAGGTGCAATAATTTGGAGAAGTGTTTGTCCTCTGACCTTCTAGTGATTGCACTTATCCAGCTTTACTCATATTTAATATTTTGTTTGTTAGTGTTGATTGTTTTACTGCAATGAAACAGCTCTTGCACTGGAATCTGTGTCGGTATCATCAGTTGTGTATTGGAATCAGATTGGAACTGAAAAAATGTCGACTGGCCCATCTCTACATTAAACTAGGGAGAAAACAGACAAACACTTACGCCTTCTGATCTCAAATCGATCTCTGAAGAGCGTGGTAGGACGAGCTGTGTGTGTCTGTTGGAAAACATCTTCGTCTTCCTGTGACGACCTGGCATAGTGGCCTGTTGCCATGGCATCAGCACCTGAACAGCACGCAACAAGTTAAACATATGTTAAGATGCTTAGAATGAGTTTGTTAGTGCATGGCCAGATTATGGTTACATACCCAAACTGTTGATGGCATACTTGTGGAAATGATTGAATTTGATGTATTTGTTGCAAAGTATATCTGGGTTTGGTGTCCCGCCCTTCTCATATTCCAACAAAAGATTACTGGAAATGAAACAATGATACAATTACAGAAAAGAAGGAAAAACCCATATAGGTAAATATTATTTGTTCAGGTCAGATACAAAATACCTGAAAACTTCATTCCAGTACTCTTTGACATAGGACACTTGATGAAAAGGGATGTCCAGGGCCTGACACACCCTGTAGGCGTCCTCACAGTCCTTCTCTGTAGTGCACAGCCCTTTCTCATCCAGAGAGTCCCAGTTCTTCATAAAAACCCCCGTCACACTGTATCCTTCAGTGAACGAAAAGACAATTGATGTGTGATTATGCTAGCACATTTGGCAACAGTTTCTTTTTCGCCTTTAGCGGTTGCAACTACTTATCTAACCATCCTGCTTTAACATGACACTTCAGATGTAATTCTGTGTGAATTAGTCAGATACGACAGCTTTTTCTCACCTCTTCTCTTGAGGATCAACGCCGCGACACAGCTGTCAACACCGCCAGACATGGCACACACCACATGCCTTACAAGACCCATGTTTAGAAACGATATGCCCTTTAATTAATGTGTTTTTGCTAGTGTAACAAAGCCAAATTCTCCGTTGCCACAGTTCTTCTTTAATACATCCAAGGATATCAATTCTAAGACCTGCCATGTGTTTGGTCCGTTTAATAATGATGCCCGTCTAAAAACACAGCTCACACGGGAACCATCACACTGATGGGAACTCAAATGTTGTTACACCGAGAACATTACGGAACTGTGGTCCTTTAGAGTTCAAGAGAAATCCAAACGAATAATAAGGTCAGTAGGAAATAAGCCAAACACACTAAACGCATTTTCGTTACAGAGTCTTTAAATTAACGACTTTTACTCTGCCCCCAGGTCACGATGCCCAGGGGGCAGATTAAAAGTCGTTAATATAACGACTCTGTTATGAAAAAGTAGGTTTGTAATTCAACGTTAATTCTCCTTTATTAATGAATGTGGTGGAGGTATGGGTGGACTACTCATGTCTATTGTCAGCATAGACCAACTAAAATCCTTAAATCATAGCTGGCTAATTATATTCCGTAATAATTTACAATATAAATCGGATTTTTTTTTTTTTTTACAGGGGATGAACAAGAGTAGGTGTAGTGCCAGGACTACTTATTATGATATAGGTCATTAATTTATCAAATGCATATTGTTTGTTTCTGACACAGATGGGTGAGGTATCCGCAGATGCTGTCACTCTGAATCTGCTGAGAGAAGCCATGGAGACTGTGAGGAGCAGCCCCCTGGGCATCATCAACACTCCCTTGATCCCCTGGTGCCAGACCACCCTGCCTCTCAGCATTGACTGCAACATCTTTTTAAAATTGGAAAACATGCAGAGAACTGGTTAGAGGAAACCAATTAGACTCAGTAACGAGAATCTCACATACAGTAATGGTGTCTTGCAATTCTGAACTGATTTGGTGACATACCCACATGTGTTTGATTGACAGGGTCTTTTAAGATCAGAGGAGTGGCCAATCAGTTCACTAAGAGACCAAAGGGTTTACATTTTGTGACCATGTCTGCAGGGAACTATGGGAAATCTTTTGCATATGCTTTAAAACACTATGAGTCAAAGGGCAAGGTGGTGATGCCAGAAACTGCTCCAGTGTCCAGAGCCAACCTCTTACAGGTGAGAGATCATCTGCTGATTGACTGAAAAACAGACTTAAGCCTTGATCGTCAAGATTAAACACACTAAAATAAGATCACTGGTAGTAAAATGTTAAAGCAAAAACTCATGTATTACATGTACAAAAGTGTTGTGATATCATGAGATAGTTTTCTCCACTAAACCTTACAAAATAGGTCTGGCATATTGTAGGTATAGGTGTGTTGCATTGTTTTTTACATATATGGCATCAAAATTGCAAGCCATCCAAGCTATACAAAGCATTAAAATTTCACCCTGGTTACATTTTTTAATATCAGACCTCAACTGTTTAGAGCACTCCAAACTGAAAAGTCACAACAAAAATATCTCTTTCTTACTTCTTATTATTTTTTGTCAGAGTCATAAATCAGCATCACACCTACGTAAGGCACTTTAAATACCAATTTTCAGATTGTTTTATTGTAATTTTTGTCCTAAGAGTTTTGGGGTGGAGGTGGAGCGAGTTCCCACCTCCAGTCTGATGAATGTGGTGACCCGCTGTGTTCAGGAGGACAAGATGATCTTCCTGCATTCCTATGATGACCTGGATCTAATAGCAGGACATGCCAGGTACTCTGTAATCTGCGATTAGACAAGAACATAATCATAATCTAGTGATATTTTGATATAACTGTTGACTTAAACTGTCAGTTTAAGTGCTAGTTAAAATCTGTGTGTATTTATGTGTCTAGTCTCGGTATGGAGGTGCTGGAGGTAAATTCTGACCCCGATGTGGTGGTGGTGTGCTGTGGTGGAGGGGGTCTGCTAGCTGGTGTAGCTGCTGCCATCAAACTATCAGGCTGTGCTAAAACCAGAATATATGGTGTGGAACCAGAAGGAGGTAAAATCTTACCAACACCTGCAAAACAGGTGCAGCCATAAGCTTTGAATTTGATGTGAGTTTGTGTTTCTGTTTAAACTCAGCCTGCACCATGTACAAAAGCTTCATTGAGAAGAAACCAGTGGGCATGGACGCCAAGAGCATTGCCTCAGGTCTAGCACCACCTTTTGCAGGTACTATGCTAAAGATTTTGTGGCCAAAATTGGCTACCAAGACCTTGTCACTATTGGAAAAATAGTGACTGTGATGGAAATATCACTATGACCTCTGTGTTATCCCTTCTCTGTAATGCAAACTTTAGTATTACCTATTATACCTTGCTAATTGATACAAGACTAACAATTTTTTTTAACTATGTTAGCAATGCATATCTAAAACAGAAGAGAAGCGAGTCAAAATCAGACAAAAACTCTGGACACCATGTTGCATTTGCTGTTCTAATTTGTCTCTCTTTTATTTTCTTTGCATCCCAGGCAGGCTGCCCTACGAGCTGTGCCAACGTTATGTGGAGGCGATCGTTCTGGTGAGTGATCAGGAGATCAAGGCGGCAGTGTCCACTCTCTACAAGTCTGGACTGGTAGTGGAAGCATCAGGCTCTGCTGCCTTCGCTGCCATTGTCAACAACAAGATACCTGAACTGGAGGGGAAGAATGTTGTATGCATCATCAGCGGAGGGAACATTGGAAAAGATGAGCTTGCTGACTTCCCAGACTGACAGGCATCTCGGACATTATTCTGTATGAGCAATTCTGACTAGCTTGTGCCAATATATGGATACTGGGGAGGAATCTAGAAGTAACTGTATGAAATAGTGAGTTTATGTTGCATTATCTTTGTTCTCATGGGGTGGAGATGAATCTTTATGAAATACCTTTTTATCTAACCACAATATGAATTTTCACAAACTATAACAAGTTTCTTAATAAGCATTGAAAGTGCCATAAATCGCTAGTAATTGATTATACATTTCATTTCAATGGAAATTTTTTCCTTCACTGTATTGAACTGGGGTCTCTTCTAATAAACACCTCAATGTCATTTTATTTTTGGTATGCAAATATTATGCTCTCAGAAAAACTTAGTGAAAGTAAAAAAAAGCAACTGTTTAGCATGAAAAACATCCAAGCTCAGGCTGTGTGATGCTCTGACACTTTAATTTTTTGACTGTTAGATTAAACTTGAATTGAAAAACAGGTCATTCAAGGTGATTTAAAAGAGCAAAGCAGAATGCAACAGTTTTAGACAACCAGTATGTTTAATGTTCTTCTTAAGCTGACAGAGTTTGATTGAAATTCAGCTTGACTGCATGTTTTTCATATCAGTGCTGGGGGTTGTGGAAATATTGTTATAAATCCCCATAATATGCAACAAAATGGACTAGATTTGGTTGTGGATCGTCTCACGGAGGACTGACAGTGGTGTGGTGATTAAAACAAACTTGGTTGGATGATAGCATCCTGGATGCTGCGGTGGAGCTGGATGGACGCTCCTTGTTTTGAGCAGACAGGACTGCAGCGTCTGCTAAACAAAGGGGCAGAGATCTGGCGCTGTACATCCACCACTTCTGGTGCACAGCTACGACCATCATTGGAATGCACTGCTCACCCGACTTGGAATATCTGGCAATGAAATGCAGACCCTTCAATACGGTGAGAGTTTTGCTCAGTCCTGATTGTAGCCATCTATATACCACCACAAGCTAGCGCTGGAGGAGCTGTACTGCCTGATCAGCAGGCAGATGAACACAAACCCAGAAGCAGCTGTGATTGTAGCTGGAGACTTTAACCATGTGGAACTTAAAGCAGTGGTTTCCCAAATTCCACAGATTCATTAATTTTCCAACCAAGGACAATAATATCCTGGATCAAGTTTATTGCAACATCCGGGGAGCATACAAGGCCATAGCAGCTCCACACCTGGGCATGTCAGATCACATCTCTGTGGAGCTGATCCCAGCATATAAACATCTGATCTGCAGGACAAAGCCAATCAACCAAACCAGACTTGGAGGCTTATACATCAGCTGTTCTGGACTATGCGCAGTTCTGTACTGATGCTGTCCTACCTACAAAGTCCATCAGGGTTTTTTCAAACAAGAAACAATGGTTGGGCAGTATAGTGTCACCTCTACTCAAAGCTCGGGACGCTGCCTTCAGATCAGGTGACAGGCTGGCCTATAGCAGGGCCCGGAAAGAACTAAAGAAGGACATCCGGCTGGCCAAATGCAGGTACAAACAGCGCATTGAGGGGCACTTCATGAATAACAACACACAGAGTATGGGGAGAGGCATCAAAACAATAACAGACTATAGAGGCAACAACCAGCGGGTCAGCCATGATCCCACCCTCCCTGGCACTCTGAATAGTTTCTTTGCATGCTTCGATACACCTGGTAGCAGAGGAACTGTACATCTCCCTCAGCTTGAGGAACAGCCCCAGCCCTCCACCCTGAGGAGGATCAACACCAACAAAGCTGCAGGACCAGACAGTGTGTCAGGTCGAGTTCTGAAACTACAGTATATGCTGACCAGCTGGCAAGAGTTTTCCTGGACATTTTTAACCTGTCCCTGCATCTTGCTCCAGTCCCTGTGTGCCTCAAGTCCTCCATCATTGTGCCTGTGCCCAAGAAATCAGCTGTCACCTGCCTCAATGATTACCGCCCTGTTGCTCCCAGTAATTATGAAGTGCTTTGAGAGGATCTTCCTAAAATACATCAAAGACGTCATCCCTGTTGGTCTGGACAGCCATCAGTTTGCCTACAGAGAAAACTGATCAACAGGGGATGCTGTCTCAATAGCACTACACACAACCCTGTCCCACCTGGAGCATCCTAACACTTATGTCAGGATGCTATTTGTTGACTTCAGTTAATACTGTAATCCCCAACTGGCACTGAAACTGCACAATCTGGGAATACCTGCAGTACTGTGTCATTGGATTAAGGACTTTCTCACTAACAGGTCTCAAGTGGTGAGAATCTGAAGCTGCACATCATCCACACTGGTCCTGAACACAGGCACACGGCAGGGCTGTGTGCTCAGCCCAGTTCTCTTCGCACTGTTTACCCATGACTATGATGCCATTCACTCTACAGACAGTTGTGAAGTTCGCAGACGACACCACCGTAGTGGGTCTCATCTCAGACAATGATGAGACTCACTACAGAGAGGAGATCCAGCACCTGACAAGGTGGTGTTCAGATAACAATCTTGTCCTGAACACCAACAAGACTAAGGAAGTCATTGTGGATTATAGGAGGTCCAGGAAGACAAAATATGCTCCTCTTCTCATACACGGGGAGGTGGTGGAGCAAGTGGATAACATCAAGTTCCTGGGCATCCACATCACATCTGACCTAACCTGGTCTCTGAATACATCCTATCTGGTGAAGAAAGCCCAGCAAAG